ATGCGGCCGCTTTTGGGAATAAGAATTTAAGCGCGAGCTCAAGTGTCAGGCCTTGCGAGTTAGTCATTCTATTTCGATCACATGCCAGGGGTAGATTTGAAAATAGATGTTATGTTACATGATGTTGCTACCATTATGTGTATGAGGCCCCTAAAGCTAGCCCAGAGGCTGTGGGAGCCTTGCGTCGCAGAAGCAAAGTAGCCCCAAGCCCCCTTTCTGTGAGCCACTTATTCTGGTACTGCCTTACAGGCGCGAGTTGGAAGAGTTGGATCCTGATTCCGAACGGGGCCGTGCCTGCGCTTTGTGGGAGCAGATGATGCCTTGAGGTGCCTGTTTGCTTTGGAGCTAGCCTGGAGAAGCCCGTGCGGTGGTTGGTCCCAGCAGAGCATCGCACCCTCCAAAGTTTACATGAACGTGCTGTGCAGCTTCAACACCGGAGCGAAACTGCACGAGGAGGCAAGGAATTTGTTGGTCGACTTCCTGTTCAGCAAGGTACAGCCCGACATCTCCCCGTGGGCATGGAATCGAAGGATGGACTGCAAAGCGCCTTCTGCAACTTCTCACGCACTCTGTGTCCAGTCATGGCTCCTTACTACCACAATTCTTCAACGTTCGTCAACTGAACGTCTCGCTGCCCAGCAGCCTCGGCACGTCTCGGATTGAAGTCGCCGTGAGCTGGTGGTGGGACGAAAACAGGGCGCGGCAAAGAGTTGACAGACGCTGGGATTAATCACCATAATAGCCCAAGTGACACATACTGTAGTTGGCGACTGGCGCACAGGTAGACGTGACTACGAGCTTGTCCAATTTCAACAGGATATTTCGGAGCTGCAAGGGTGGAACAAGTCTAAGCGTTCATCAGTGAAGTAATTACGAAGCCTAGCAAGGCATAGTCGCGGCTTGAGACTTGAAGGGCAGCGATTCACTTTCTAAGTTAGGGCATGGTCTGCAAGCCGTCTGCATGTTAGAGCTTAATTTTACCTGCAACGCAAACTTACCCAAACCCGAGCTGAGCTAGAAGACCTCACCAGGGCAGAAGTTCCCTTGACTGCAAGGCGGTTTCAGTGCCTTTTGTGCATGCAGCTGTGATGGACCATCTCTTGGCCGGACCCTTGGAGCTCAGGTAGGGTTGGCAGGGTTTGTATCCGGCTTTGCTCGAGGCATCGAGAGTTGATTGGCATCACAGGAACCTCCTGCAGCTTGTAACTCCCACCAAAACGCCTGACATGGGAAAGTTTGTGGCCTTTTGGACTGAGGCCACCCCTGAGTTGCGCCCCGTTTTGGAGGCTTGCCGATTCCTGCTCCCTTTTCACAACTGCTACGTTTGGGCCATGGCTGATGGCTAGTTTTTACTGCTTAACATGACACATGCTGTCACATGCTACAACGTGTGCGTGCTAGGCAGGTTTCCTAATCATGAGACTCCAGTGACTGAGTGCATTTGAAACTAGCCAATCTGGCTGTGTCATATATCCTGCGCAGTTCAGATAGTTAAGCAAAGCAACACACATAATTTCGATGCATGCCGGCAGTCCTTTGGCAAAAGGTTCGAGGAAGGCGTGTGAATGCTCGAGTGAACCACTCCCAGCGGCAGGCCTTGTTGCAGAACCGGTTAAGTGATCCGCAGACCTCGCCGCTGGAGGCCGGTCGGTGACGGGCTCATGAATGTTTCTTTCTATTCGTCTGTGGGAAAGCTGGCAAACACACAACTTGGGAATGGCGAGGGGCTAGTGGCTCTAAGTTTTGCGAAATGTGCAGTAGCATGGTCTAGCCGACTGTCTCATGCTTTCGTGAGGCCGGGGGCAGGGTTGTAAGCCTTGATTTTCCCTGTGGGATGCTGGACATCATGCAGAAACCCGAGAACACAGCATAGTGCAGCAGAGCAATTCGTTGGAAGTCCCTTTCAAAACTCTGAGGGCTCAAATGGTGGGATAGCAGTAGGATAAAGGATCCTTCTTCTAGACTCCATTATGTTAGGGGCCTATTTCCTATTCCCCACCCTTCTTGACCTCATCTTTGGAGATCTCTGAAAAACCTTGCAGTGCCTTGCAGGCTTTCCTTCAACAGCGGGCCACCAGCAGCCGCGCTGCTGGTGAGCTGCTCTGGAGGACACGCAGGGTAATGTAGAAACCTGAAGAATCACCAGCAATATTTCCCTAGATGCGCTATGTTGTGGTAGAAATAATACTCCCCTAGAGTCTTTGTGTTATGGTAGAAAGAATGTTACCCTACATCGTTTATGTAAGTATGGTATAGGGTATCTCACGCAGACCTCAAATGACATTGGTACTTATTTGCGCCTTCTACCAATTATTTGGCCCCTCCAGTAGCGCGATTCATGCCACGTTAGGGATTCAGCCGACTATTGGCTATCGTTCTTGAGGCATCGGGCGCACCAGGGGCGAATGCAGGAGGCTGCAGAGGCTGTGCCGGTCATACCTTCACCCCTAAAGTAGGCAAAGTAATTGCTTAAAACCCCTAGAAAAAACAAAAACGATCATTATTCTACATACTTCAGGGATCCGGGTAATTTTCAAGCCACCAGCAGTCCAGTCTTGAACGTTGGTTGTGCCTCTTAGCTGAAGCTTCTCTGGCGTTGCTCGCGCACATAGGGATTTCCGAAAATTATGGATGCCAGTATCGGGGCCCCCATGACTTATAGAGATCACAGTCTTTCGGGGTTTCTTGGGTTGATCGATGCAAGACTCCAGCTTGCAGGCTCTTGCGAGCTCCTTATAGCTCCTACATCCTTCGCTATAGCTGTATATATATATATATACGCATATGTATACATATATTTGGTTACGTTTACTCATGTTGACAGAGATGCATACGCATGCAATACGTACATACGTACATACATACCAGCATACATGCACACATACATACATGCATGCATGCATGCATGCATGCATGCATACATACGACTGACTGACTGACTGACTGACTGACTGACTGACTGACTGACTGACTGACTGACTGACTGACTGACTGACTGACTGACTGACTGACTGACTGACTGACTGACTGACGTAACCTATGTGCGCATGTATATACGTATATGTGTCTTCACATGGCTTCAGCTGCCAGGTGCTGCTTTGCATTGCCGAGTCCAAGAATGAGTGCACACTTGAGGAGCGCGTGACAGACTTAGCGCTCAAGGGCTTCAGTTCCGTTTTGGTGTCACATCATGGCTGGGATAGGCAACGAACAGCAATCATGAGGAGGGCTGCAAGGGTGCTGGGTAGTACAAGCGGCCTTTTGAAAACTGAGCATTGAAATGCCAAGTGCTTGTTCTATGTCTTCTGGATGTTTTGAAGCGGGGGCCGCCCTCGGCCGAGCCTTGCCACTTGCTGAGGTTAGTGTTTCAAAAACACTGTTCTCCTGTTGAAATATCCGGTTGTTTAGCATCACGTACCCCACATAACCGCTAACCTCATTTTGTCAGCGGGATAGAGGATATAGGA